GCGAGCGAGCGAGGGAGACATTGCGGACTGAGTGGCTAAGGGAGCAGGAAGGAGGTAGAGGGAAGAAGAGAGTATACACGTACTTGTACGTATGTATGTGTGTGTGTGTCTCGCGCGTTATGTGTGTGTGTGTGTGTGTGTATGGAAGAGAGAGAGAGAAAGAGCGAGGCAGGGAGAGGAGAGGGAGAGGGAGAGAGAGAGAGAGAAGGTGAGGTCCGCCGCAAAATACAAGTTGGTAGGATATCGACCAGCCGGAAGTCTGAGTAGTTGTTGCCATGGAGACGCTCAAGTCAATTTGACCTGGGCCAACAGTCACCGGCATACTGATGCACGATATGCCATCCCATTATTCATATGGTTTTTACACGGTAAAACATATTTCGCGGCGCGATTCCCCAACGGCGTATATACGTTTCGCGGATGCGTATAACCTCCTGGCGGAGAGCAACGCTGCGACGCTCTCTCGGCTGATACTGGCGAGCGCGAGGGAAGAGAGGAATTTCATCCACCTTTACATCTGTCCTTCAGGATCGCGCACGGTCTTGCCGGTCGGAGAAGTCGCGCACGTGTCACGACGTAGATATAGAACAACGGCTAATGTTCGAAGAGATTTCCGGAAGTTTCTCATTAGTGACCTCCGACGAGATTGCGGATATGGGAATAGATTTTTCTCGGATTAAAGTTCACGGTAGTTACTTTCCAAGCAGACAGGCGCGCGTAAATTTGGCAGCTACTTTACCGGTCAATTTGTAAAGGTTGTGTACTTCATGAGTGGTTTATGTGACACTCATATTTATCACACAGAATAAAGTAGAAATGCAGAAAGAATGGCCAAAATGTAATGAAAACAATATTATATAATATTAAAATGTAATATACAAATTTGAATATAACTTAGAGCAAATTTAGAGCTGCATTGATATAACTAAAAATTTATACTATTGTTAATATATGATGTAAATTTAATGATTAGTTCAATATACACAATATATTTCGTTCATGAAAATGTATTTTTAATGTAATTAGAAATTTTTCCGTATGTTATTTCAAGTATTTGATGTTATCAGAGATTATATTTTTTTCATTTGATGACTTTTGTTGTTTGTTTTGATATTCTTATATCATGCAATGTATAGTATATTTAATTGAAAAAAAAAGGATCTAAGGTGAAATCGAAACGTCTTGACGAATGTATTTATAACAATATGTATAATAATATAATGCATTAATATAATGTATTTATAATAAGTCTTACACTTGTGAGCGTGAGTTAACACAATTATATATTTAGATTTATTATAGAACTACGCGAATTCTCTCTCTCTCTCTCTCTCTCTCTCTCTCTCTCTCTCTCTCTCTCTCCCTCCCTCTCTATTTTTCTTTCTTCCTGTGCTTAGCTCTTAAAGACCTATTATTTGATTATTTGACTTTATCAAAGCCTTCCCTCCTTTAATTTGGTAATTAAAAAATTTGTAGAGTTTTTATCATCGATTATCTCACGTCCTGATAATCATGAAAGTTTATCTGGACTATTTGGATTGAAGAGCAAATGTTCGTCTTGTCTTTTAATAAAAATCAACTTTGTTTGCCATTCTTGCTATTCTAAGATATTTTAAAAACGGTTAATTGACCAATGCCGAGAATTTCTGCGATTTCTTGAGTTATTACAACATACAATTATTAAAGGAAAAGGTACAAATATAGACCATGCGGGCCCATATACAAATATGAGCCGTAGATCCAAATACGGAACTCGCGGGTACCAGTGTTGACTACTTTCGGCTTTGTGCTACACGAGATTTGATTGCATAGTTATTTTCAAACCGGTTTAAAAGTTATATAAGATTTTCTATTCTTTGACACCTGAAAAGCTATGCAGGTAGATGCATTTAATTTTTTATTTAGAAACGTACATATAATTGCTTATAAACAATAAAGAATATAAAGATGGATATATTAAAGGTCATAATTACTTTAAATAAAAATACATTATGTTTAATATAATCTTATATGACCTATGTTATGATATTGCGAATACTATACTTTTGGATTGCTGTAGATAGTATATAGGAAAGTAAATGTTAAAGACAATGTCGTATATAGTAAAAATTTTTGTGTTAAATTTAACACTTTTTATATGTCCAAAATGATCTACTCGAATTTTGGCGTCAATTTAGCGAATATATAAAAAAACAACACAAATATTATGTCAGAAAGTGACACACAAAAATTAACACTAACAAAATAAACACTATTTTGAAGTATATTCGATATAAAATTGACATATTTATAATGTCCAATGTAATATATCAAAAATTTTATTCTTACAGTAAGAAAAGTATTTTATTTAATCTCTTTTTTATTGTGTTGCTTTTAAAGTATTGTTAATGGTTTTATTTGAAATCGTTTTAAATATAATTAAGAATATATAACTTCTAATTGATTCAAAATTTATATATATATATATATATATATATATATATATATATATATATATATATATATATATATATATAT